GAGGTGGCTTGATTGATATGAGGCCGAGGGCCTAGATTTGATGCCATGAGATGGCTTGTTATTATGCTTGGGCCGTAAGGGGCCCCTCCCGGAGTCTGTACACCCCCAGTGAGCGCGGATACCCATTGTGATGTGAGATTGAGCCTGAGGGGCTGGTATTGTTCTGAGATGTTGCCCGAGGGGCAGATTTGTTGATACTGTGCCCGAGGGGCGAACTTCTATTTGTTTACTTACCTGCCAATTACTTGTTTTACTTGTTGAAAAGGGATTTTACTTGACTCTTTGCTGTTTTACTGTTGTTAAGTGATTTTTACTGCTTCAGTATAGAATGCCTTGTGTTTTACGTGTTCTCTTACTTTCAGTCGTTATTTACATTTGTTACTCACTGAGTTGGATTACTCACTTTACTCTCTGCACCCTGTGTGCAGATTCAGGCGTAGCTGGTACCGCTCCTGAGTGTTGATTCCTCTAGTTCCAGGCGGTTTTTAGAAACTACGAGATAGTTGTTGACGTCTGCAGCCCCATGTCTCTACTTCTCTATCATTTCTGTTTCCTTTCAAACATTTGTAGTAGTTTATGACTTTAGTAGACTGGTATTCTGGTTTAGAAATGCTCGTGACTTGTGACACCCCGGTTAGGGCTGTGTTGGGTTGGATTCCGTTTTTGTTATCTATGTTCCGCTACTTATTATCATTAAATCATGTTTTAGAATGCTTTTATATTGTTTGATTGCTTTAACAAGTGAACTGAGTTTAATTGGCTGGCCTTGTCATCATGAGAGGCGCCATTACGACCGGGTTCAGGGTTAGGGTCGTGACATAATTGGAACGCGAGTACGTTTTCAATTCCAGCTCCCGTCGTCACAGCAACATCAACAGCCAACATCTGCATGCAAGGTGCAGAAGTGTAGTATGAGTATAACCGACCCCATATACTCAATAAGTAACAAACCTAACCATAGGTTGAAAGTAGTGACGAGCTGGAACAAAGGTCGGGTCCACCACCAATAGCCAACAACAGTTCATAACAATGTAAAGCAAGTAATAAAAGAAGTAACTCAGAGATAAAATGCTCCGCTTTTTCATAGTTTCCCGAAAAATAGTTCCGCTTTTCAAGTATATCAGTGAAAACTCAAATCCTTTACCGAAATCGTCAAAAATACGAGTAAGTTTGAAAACTATAATTTTTCTCAAAAATCCATTCAACAATAAATATGATATTTCATTTTCATTCCAAATAGCAAGTGTAAAATACCTCTCTATGCCCATATGTCAATATGTGTAAGAAGTCATGAATGACGTGATACCGTACAACATGAGAAAAATGCATCTCTATGCCTGTATGTCGTGTGTGCATATCAATGCAATGTATCTCAGAGAGGAACTCATGTACTCACACTCTCAGAGTACTCAATCTCACAGTCTCACACTTTTCACTCATCATGCTCAATCACTCAGTACTGTTTATGGCCAATCCGGCCCAGGAAAGATCCATCCCGGAGTATATATATCAATTGACCATCAGTCACTCAGTACTGAGTAAAGCTAAATCCATCCCCAGGTATATAAATGCTTCAGATAAGATCCATATCCATGGAAGATCCATCCCTCAATATAATAAACCGCACTCACTAGGGGTGTGTGCAGACTCCGGAGGGGCTCCTTCAGCCCAAGCGTTATCATAAATCAGTATAACTGCCTGCAGCATATAACTCGATCCCATAAATGTCACTCATAATCAGGCCCTCGGCCTCACTCAATCATCAATCTCTCCAGTCTCTTAGCTCACAATGCCATGAAATTAGCCCAAAATAATGATATAATGTGTCAATAAATGGTAACAGAGACTGAGATATGATATGCATATGAATACGTGTGACTGAGTATGTAAAGCAAAGAATGCAGATAATTCAACAACGGAAATGACCTCAGTGAGTCCCAACAGAATAAACATATAGCCTAGACATGGTTTCTAACATGGATCACAGCTCAATAGCTCAAGTACGTAGAAACTTCATGGTTACAGGTAAGATCAGGTAAATACACAGTACCACAGAAATAATAGAGTCACAATTCACACTGTGCACGCCCACACGCCAGTCACCTAGCATGTGCATCACCTCAACACCAATCACATAGCACGTAATTAGGGTTTCATACCCTTAGCACCAAGTTTAGAAGTGTTACTTATCTTGAACAAGCCAAATCCAATACCCAGCAAGCCAAACGATGCCCCAAAAATACCATCCTGTGCTCGAAACTAACCAAAAGCAACTTAAATACATCAAATAATGCCAAAGGAAACAAACCTAATCGATAAATGTCGAATCTTTAATAAAAATTCCAAAATCGTCCAAAAAATCAAACCCGGGCCCACGCCTCGGAACCCAACAAAACTTACAAAATCCGACAATCCATTCAATCCCGAGTCAAATCATACTAGTTTTACTCAAATCCGACTCTGAATCGATGTTAAAAACTCAAAATTTACTTTATGAAATTTTAGACAAAACCTCCCAATTTCACTTTGAAATCATCAATCAAATGGCAAAAATGAAGATGGATTCATGAAATATAACCAAAATCGAGTATAGAATACTTACCTCAATCCATATGGTGAAAATACCCTGCAAACATTGTCCAAATCCGAGCTCCCCTACTCAAATATGACCAAATGAACAAACCTTCAATATTAAGTATTTTGCCCAATTGTTCTGCCTTGTTTTGCATATTATATGATCCCGAAACTTGCTTTTGATGCCTTTAATAGATTCCTTGTGAAATTTTAGTCAAGTTAGGCTTTTGAATCACTCAATTTAACTTTATAATGAAGGAGATATGTTGGTTTCAATATTTGAAAAAGTGCAGATTTTTAAATATGAAGTTAGTGACAATTTCGTAATTAATCTGAAAAATCTGGCAACCCAAATGACCATAAAATCCTTATATGATGTCCAAATTCGATGATTCTTTTTGTTATGGATTCGTAATTACGATACGTATCTAAAGCTTTAATCAAAAAAGAAATCGGAGCTAATTTGTTTGATGTGGTACCATTTATGCTTGAAGAAACGACATCGAAACATAAGAAAAATGAATGCAATACAACCCAAATCAAACCTATCTGAAACTCACCCGAGCCCCTCGCGACCCCAAATACATACCAACAAGTACTATAACATAACACGGACTTACTCGAGGCCTAAAATCATACATAACAACAACGAAACAGCGAAATACACCTCAAATCAAACTTAATGAACTTTCGAACTTTCGACTTCCAAAAACTCGTGCCGAAACATATCAAATCAACTCGAAATGAACTCAAATTTTGCACACGAGTCCTAATATATCATACGGAGCTACTTGTTACCCCAAACTATCGAGCGAAGTGCAAATGCTCAAAACGACTGGTCGGGTCGTTACATTGTTGAACCTTGAAAAAGCTTGAAGAACAAACGATAAATTCGTTGAAATTCTTAGTTGTCGGCCAAATTGATTACTAGGGCATGGTGATAATGTTGTTGTGAAGTTCTAGTTGAAATTTGAGCTTGACTGGTGAAGAATTAGTTGAGTTTTTCTTGAATTTTGACACCAAAAATTAGATTTGGAGCTTTTGAGAATGAGTGATAAAATGGGAATGAAGAGCTCTTGAAAATCAGCTTTGGAACTGACATGTGGCCATTTCATATAGGTTAGAGCCATTTTTTTAAGTTCTCACGCATTTGAAGGAGCTGTTCTCACGCAGTGCTCCGCGTCAGCAATAAATGGAGGTTCCGTAGCACGTCATGAGCACAGGGCTAAGGGGCGGTTGAGCAACTCAAGCGAACTGCTTTACCTTATTCCAACATAGGGACAGAAGGGAGAAGGTTGTGAAGGTGACCTTGTTATCCATACCTCCGGTCGGATGAATGGATGACCGACCGACCCAGGTTTTCACGAGCGTTGGCGTTGGATAATAAAAGAATTATAAGGAGAAAGTAAACAAAAAATAGATCAAAAGAGATGAAAAACTACTGTAATTCTTGTATTTCTGATGCAACGAAGTGTAAAAGAACTGCCTATAAATAGGCTTGCAGAGAAACTGAAAATACTAAAATCTAGCTCCACTAATCCACTTACCCACTAAAGCTAATCAATATCTAAACTTGCTTAAATAAAGGAAACCAACTAACAAACTCCTAAAGACTTGGTCAAACATTTTTGAATCACTTCTCAACACTCTCCCTTGATTCAAAAGTGCAAACTCCAAGTTGACCTCTGAAGAACTCGTGCTTTGCTTGCGGAAGTGACTTTGTGAAGATGTCTGCCGCTTGCTCATTCGTACCACAAGTCTTTAAAGTACTCCAGTAGAAACAAGACTCCGAATATAGTGATAGCGAATATCGATGTGCTTTGTTCTGCTATGAAATGCTGGCTTTTTCGACATCGCAATAGCAGACCTGTTGTCACAGAATATTTCAGTTGCATCAGCTTGTTTTTGATCGCAATCTGCAACAAGTCTCCTTAACCAAACTGCTTGACAAGCTGCCAAAGTTGCTGCAATATATTCAGCCTCTGAAGTTGATAATGCCACCACTTCCTGCTTCTTTGAACTCCATGAAATTGCTCCAGATCCGAGATTAAACAAGAAACCAGACGTGCTCTTTCTATCATCAATGTTTCCTGCCCAATCGCTATCAGTAAAGCCAGTTAATGTGAAATTTGTTACCTTAAATACCAAATTTCATGATCTATTGTCCCAGCGATATATTTCAGTATTCTCTTTGTAGCTCCAAGGTGAAGTTTGCTTGGACTATGCATAAATCTTGACACTACTCCAACAGAGAAAGCAACATCTGGCCTCGTATGAGACAAATAATTTAAACCACCAACAAGACTTCTAAAATAAGTTGCATTTCTCATTTCAGTACCATCATCAAGACACAACTTCTCATTAATATTCATTAGCGTAGCAACAACTTTACAATTCACCAATATTAAACCTTTTCAAAAGATCTATTGCATATTTTCTTTGTGAAAGAAATATGCCATCAATTCCTTGTTTCACCTCAAGACCAAGAAAATAATGCAGTAGACCTAAATCAGACATCTCAAAATTCTTCATCATGCAATCTTTAAATTCAGCCACAATAGACTCACGTGAACCCATATATATTATATCATCAACGTAAAGACATACCGCCAAAAAATTATTTTTACCTTCTCGTTTGATATAAAGAGTAGGCTCATTGTTACTCCTTTCGAAACCACTCTTCTGAAAATAAGAATCTTTGAAGTACCATGCCTGCGGTGCTTGCTTTAAGCCATAAAATGCCTTTTTACCTGTAAACCTTATCTTTTTTGCCGTTAACTACAAACCTTCAGGTTGTGAGACATAAACTTCTTCTTCCAAATCACCGTTTAAAAAGGCAGCTTTAACATCAAATTGGTATACTGGCCAATTTAATGTTGCAGCCAAAGCTAAGAATGTTCTAATAGTTTCAAAGGGGGCAACAGGAGAAAAGGTTTCATCGAAGTCGATACCTTGTTGTTGGGAATAGCCCTTTGCGACAAGCCTTGTCTTGTGCTTTTGAATGCTTCCATCTGCATGATACTTAGTTAAACACCCATTTGAGACCAATAGCTTTCTTTCCTTCTGGAAAATTAACCAAGTCCCAGGTCTGATTTTCTTGAATAGCTAACAACTCCTCTTCCATAGCTTTGCACCATTTATCCTCTTTTTCAGCATCTTCAAAGCAAATAGGATCTGAAACAAGCAAAGCAAAAGTACATGATGTACTGTCAACATATTTGGGATTTGGTTTTCTATCCCTTGTTGATCTTCTTAATGGAATTGGCTCAGCTGAAGGTTCTTCCAATGTTGGAGAAGTTGATGGTTCCATTGATGAGACAATTGATGGATATGATGAAGAAGGATCTGCTACATGCTCTTGATCAACAACATCATTAGTAGGCATCAATTGAATATTTGAACTTTCATTTCCAGAATTAAAGTTCCAGCTTGCATCCTCATTAAACACAACATTTCTACTGACTATAATTTTTTTCACTCACTGGATTATATAGCTTATAAGCTTTAGATTGTGTGCTATAACCAACAATGACATATTTTTCAGATTTTTCATCAAGCTTGCTCGAGCCTGTGAATTCACCAAAGCATAAGCTACACATCCAAAGATACGTAAGTGGCTTACCTTGGGCTTGTTACCTCTCCATACTTCATATGGTGTTCGATTAAGAACTGCCTTGGTGGGTGAAATATTCAGCACATAGATAGTAGTGGCAACGACTTCAGCCCAAAAGGACTTTGAAACACCTCTAGCTTGCATCATGCTTCTGCCCATCTCGACAATTGTGCATTTCTTACATTCGATTACACCATTTTGCTCTGGTGTATAAGGTGATGTGAGTTCTCTATGTATTCCATTTTCCTCATAGAAGGAACTGAATTCATTTGACATAAACTCACCACCTCTATCCGTCCGAAGAGATTTTATTCTACATCCACTTTGCTTCTCAACAAAAGATTTAAATTTCTTGAAATTCTCAAAAGTTTCAGATTTAAATTTCAAGAAATATATCCAACTCATACGACTATAATCATCAATAAAAAGCAAAAAGTATCGACTTCCCCCCTAAGGACTTAATACTCATAGGACTGCACAAGTCAACATGTACTAACTCGAGACAAATAGAAGCTCTCCAAGACTTGCTATATGAAAAATATTTTTACTTTGTTTTCCATAAACACAACTTTCACAAAAATCAAGATTCTGAACTTTTGGCAATCCAAAAACCATTTCCTTTTGGCTCAATAACTTCAGTCCATTAACATTTAAATGTCCATAACGCAAATGCCACAGTCTAGTATCATTATCTCTACTAGCAACCATAGCACATTTCTCGACCATTGAAACTTCTAAAGGAAATATTTTGTTGTTAGTCATTGGAACTGTAGCAATGGTTTGTCCAGATTTCTTACTTCTAATAGTGCAAAAACCATCATCAAAAGAAATCGAGTATCCGCTAACCATTAACTGCCCAATGCTAGGCAAATTATGAGATAGACTAGGAACAAATATCACATCTTCTAATATTTTAGCATTACCTTGGCTGGTTCTAGTGCTAACAGTACCTCTGCCTTCAACTTGGATCTTCTTGTTGTCTCCTAGCCTCACGTCTGATTTTTTGGACTCATCAAGTTCTTTGAACAATGATCTTGTTCCAAACATATGATTGGAACATCCACTGTCCAAAATCCAAACATCGTTAGAATTTCTTTTTCACAATAAAAGGCCATAAACAACTTACTCTCATCGTCATTTTTTTCTGCGAAACTTGCTTGGTTATTTTCATCCTTTTGCTTTTGCCAACAATAAGCTTCGTTATGACCTAGCTTTCTGCAGTAATTGCACAAAAATATCGTATTTTGCTTCTCTTCATTTGATCCTCCTCTATCTCGACCTCTTCTCGAAAACCACCCCTGCCACGACCACGATTAGAAAAATTTTCTGACTTATCTTTCTGATGGGCGGACTCTCCCTTCACCTGAAATGCCTTTTCTTCATTTTTTTCATGTAACCTTAGGAGCCTTTCTTCATGAGCTTGCAAAGAACTCATTAGTTCATCAAAAGAATAATCAGATAAGTCATGAGATTCCTCAATCGCAATAACAACATGTTCAAACTTTGGAGTAAGACTCCTTAAAACTTTTGCAACAACAATTTCTTCAAATATGTCTTCACCATAAGACTTTATTTGATTAACAAGAGAAGAAACTCTAGACAAATAAGTTTGAACAGATTCATTACTTTTCAAAAAAAGAGTTACAAATTTACAACGGTAAGTCTGCAATTTTACTGTAATTACTTTAGCTGAACCTTGAAATTCCTTCTCCAAAATCTTCCATGCCTGCGAAGACGCAGTTGCTGCTGCAATTCTTGAAAAGATTGTGTTATGGACTGCTTGTTGAATGAAACACAGTGCTTTGGCATCCTTCTTTTTGATTTCTTTCAATTTTTTCACCTCTTTGTTAGAGCTTGCTTGATCCACAAACCCTACTTCCACCAGCTCCCAAACTCCTTGTGATTTGAAAAGAGTTTTCATTTTGATACTCCAAAACTCATACTTTTCACCAGTAAAAATTGGAATGAGTGGTTGTGAAGATGATGAAATACCATTCACGACCATTTTTCTTTTGCTCTCACACTTTCTCTCTAGTTTCACTCAAATACTCACCCAATTTTGAAAAGAACCGGGCTCCGATACCAGATTTGTTGGATAAGAAAAGAATTATAAGGAGAAAGTAAACAAAAAATAGAGCAAAAAAGATGAAAAGCTACTGTAATTCTTGTATTTCTGATGCAACGAAATGTAAAATAACTGCCTATAAATAGGCTTACCAAGAAACTGAAAATACTAAAATCTAGCTCCACTAATCCACTTATCCACTAAAGCTAATGAATATCTAAACTTACTTAAATAAAGGAAACCAACTAATAAAATCCTAAAGACTTGGTCAAACATTTTTGAATCACTTCTCAACATAACGATGCAAAGAATTATAGAAAAAAGTTTAGGGGAATAATACAACCCCCGCAAAAATAAGGTATTTTGTAGCAACTTCGAGGATAGTTCTGGATTAATAGTGTCTTATCCCAAAATATAGTTGAAAGTGGAGTCAAATAGGCTTGGCCAAAAATGACATAAATTTCGACTTTATATTTATTTGTTGGGAAAAAGCATAAGTACTTCCCTGTACCGATCAAAGTTCTAACTACACACCTTATCTTTGTGAGGGTCCTATCACCCCTCTGAACTATATAATAGTAGAATTATTAACCCCCTAAAGTTTGAGGTAGCCCAAGAGATTGTGTTCCACTCTCTTTGGGAGAGTGAGACACAAAAAAGTGACAAAATATTATTTTTGTAATTTTCTGTTATAGTTAAAAAAAAATCACTCTCTTCATTTTTCTTCTCTTCTTTTCCAGCTAAAACCATGAGAAATTTTTTCAAAAATTACGAAATAAACACATGGCAGTGCATGTATCATACTGCCTGCCAAAAATTTGGTTATCTAGTTTCAGGGTGATATTTATTCCGTTTTAAAAAAGTTCAGCGGGTGATAGGATCCCCGCAAAAATGAGGTGTGTAGTTGGAACTTCAGTATTAGTTTAAGGGGATACTTATGCATTTTCCCTTAATTTGTTTTAAGTTTTAACCTAGAGGTGTGTAGTTGTTCTTAACACATAAATCTTTGAACACTAGTATGGTGGATAACATTATTGAACAATGAATTCAATACAATTACATAAGCTTCAAATATCAAAAGAAAAAGAAAAACTCTTTTAAATTGGTATCCTGTCTGATGGATTTTCCAATATCAAATTAGTCCTTCC